GGACGTGGAAGGAGATGGCGCATTGGGTTTCCCTGGGAAGACGTAGAACTTGCACGCCGGTCAGCCCCGCGGCAGACGGCCGGTTGAGTTAGATGTAGCGCCCCAACGCGTTGATCTCCACCTCCGACATCGCGTTCGACAACACGCTCGCGTCTGACTTCACCAGCGCGTTGCCCGTGTAGGTCTCAGCCGTCGAGCCGAGATAGACGTCGACGTCCGTGAGCCGCTCCGCGCAGCAGTCGTTGCGGTTCTGCAACCGCGCGTAGCGCGCATACACCTCGCTCCCGAGGTGGACGCCCCACCACTGGCTTGTGTATTGGCCGCACTCGGCCCACGGCCGTCCCGTCGTGCTGTCGGCGTATGACAGGTCGCTCACGGGCGCCTGCTTGTCGAACAAGCTCGAGTCCTGGTACGTGGGGGCGGCGCGGAGGTCGAGCAGCTGCACGTGAGGCGGCGGCGGCGACGGCGAGGCGGACGGCGGCGGCGGCGACGGCGAGGCCGACGGAGGCGGCGGGGACGGCGACGCGGAGGGAGGCGGTGGCGACGGCGACGCGGAAGGAGATGGACCATTGCGATTTCCTGCGAAGACGTAGAACTTGCACACCGTCAGCCCCGCCGCAGACGGCCGGTTGAGGTAGATGTAGCGCCCCAACGCGTTGATCTCCACCTCCAACATCACGTTCGACAACACGCTCACGTCTGACTTCACCAGCGCGTTGCCCGTGTACGTCTCCGCCGTCGAGCCGAGATAGATGTCGACGTCCGTCAGCCGCTCCGCGCAGCAGTCGTTGCGGTTCTGCAGCCGCACGTAGCCCACATACACCTCGCTCCCGAGGTCGACGCCCCACCACTGGCTTGTGTATTGGCCGCACTCGGCCCACGGCCGTCCCGTCGTGCTGTCGGCGTATGACAGGTCGCTCACGGGCGCCTGCTTGTCGAACAAGCTCGAGTCCTGGTACGTGGTGGCGGCGCGGAGGTCGAGCAGCTGCACGTCAGGCGGCGGCGGCGACGGCGAGGCGGACGGCGGCGGCGGCGACGGCGAGGCGGACGGCGGCGGCGCAGGCAAGGCGGAGGGAGGCGGCGGCAGAGGCGGCGGCGGCGACGGCGAGGCGGACGGAGGTGGCGGCGAGGGCGAGGCGGACGGCGGCGGCGGAGAGGGCGAGGCGGACGGAGGCGGCGCCGTCGGCGGCGAGAAGCCGCACGCCTCCGCCCTGGCCTGGTGCTGGCAGGGGGAGAGCGCGAGAACGCGCCCACGGCCGGCGAGGCGGCGGAGCCCATGAGTGCCGTCCAACGGCGGCGGTAGGGCAAGAGCATGCGATGCTTGGGAGGACTTGGAGTTAGGCGGAGAGATGCCATTGACGCTCGTTCGCCTTACGCGAGCGCCGGCAGCCGAAAATCCTGCC